TTCCTCCCCCCCCCCCCCCTCAACACACACACTGTTATACCCATTCACACAGTTTAAAACTCACATGTGAATACCTTCTAACAATAATATAAAATATTGCACTTTGAGCAAAATGAAACACTTAAATACAACATAAATATAGCGTAAAAGTTTCGGTAAAATAAAGACAAAAATTGGAATTTATAAGTTTTTAAGCTTTGAGAAAATATCAACATACAAGTAAATTTTAAAAATTCATATTTAAATTAGTGAACATATGGACATTTTCCTTGATCAAATTTCAAAAAAATTATTTTTGATTATCTTGTCTACATGTTAATTGCTCAATTTACTTTTATATGATGTTTCAAAGGAAAGAAACTATTAAAATGAAATTAACTTTAAGGTTAAGACAGGACAAAGAATTTGTTTATATCAGCAGTCATATTTACTTACCAGGTGAGGGTCTGGATTATTTCCATTCAAAAAGATTTTTTTTTACATTTTACTTAAAAACAGCAATTTTTACAGGATTAAATAACAATGACAACACGGTACAATAAAATAAAATATGGCAATAATAAACAGCTGTTCATCTCATGCCCTTGGGTCACAACTGTGGCCATACACTACACACACTCAGTTGTGACCTTATTTAATAAAATAAATTTAGTCTTTAGCAATAGCAGATGGGGCAAAAATTCATAGACAGATAAATATTCTGTCAAAAACTCATTGACAAGTAACCAAGAAATAATATGATACATTAATTGCTTAAGCTAAATTACACAAGTCAACATTATCATGCAGCTGATACAAATGGTATCTATATCAGCATCAGAATATGAAAAAACAGTTGCCATGATATATTAATTCTTTGTCAATGAGCTGAATTATTGAAGTCAAAAACATTATGTTACTGACATACATGGTCAGATTATGAAAGAACAGTTGCCATGTAAGGAAATCCACTATTATGACTTTATACTACTTATTATGTGTTTGACCCTGGGATTGGTCATAAATACTGAGCAATTTTGTAGGCTAGTCCAGTTCAAAGTCACTGTCCTGCTGTTGTCCCTGCTGCTGCCGTATTACTGAGTTCACAATCTCCTGAGCTGGTAAGAAGCCATATCTGGAAAGAAAAAAAAGAAAATGTCTTCAATACTGAATGAGAATGAAATTCTCCACTTTATCATCAAAATAAATATAAGGTCATTTGCAAATCATTTCAAGTATGAAAAGTTTGATAATGCCAGCACCCAATATCTTCACCACGTTTTATTTGTTTAAGACATAGGTAAAGAAAAACCATAACTTTTGCAAATTTACCCCTGACTTGGGATAAAAAAACAAAAAACAAAAAACAAACAAAAAAATTTAACCACATACACTTTTTGACACAAAAATGTCATTAAAACAGCAAAAGTTGGCTTCTTTTTCATAAGGAATTTCACAAGGCAATGCATGAGCTTTAAGTCTAATGACCAACCGGGAATTTGAATCTAACACGCAGCCCAGTCACTGGATTTTGCCTTGTCTGAAAATGGCATNTGTTTTATTTGTTTAAGACATAGGTAAAGAAAAACCATAACTTT